GTCCGGCGGCTCGGGGCTCATGCCCCGGCGTTCAGCCGCCTCTCCCGGGCCGGCGTGTGGCCTTTGGAACAGCAAGCTGAAGCGGAAAACAAGGTTTGAGAACTTGCAACTTGAGAAGATGATGGTTACCAGCCCTGCATTGCCTCAGGGAAGAACAGGAACTACTCTACCATTCTTGAGGAAGCCAGATACCGGAGAATTCTTCGGCCTATGGACAGTGAGAAGATGATGGTTACCAGCCCTACATTGCCTCAGGGAAGAACAGGAACTATTCTACCATTCTTGAGGAAGCCAGGTACCCGAGGATAGCTCACGCTCTAGAGCCCCACGGCACCATTCCAACAATGGCGGATCCGCACGAGACCCACCCTTGATCCAACATTAAATGGAATCTATGATCCCTATTGGTGAAAACTAAACTTGTGGCCCTTCTCCCTTTACTTACAGGTATCATATTTTCAATGGTTCCCCTGGAAGATGACTGTATATAGCAGAGATAGTGTAATGGGAGAGGGGGAAAGGGCAGAGGGTCAAAGATAGGATAAAAAACATATATGTATGTATACATGGTATGAAAGTAGAAATGGAATATTATTGATGATAACATGCTGGTATGGAGGATCTATTGCTGAGTGAAATAAGCCAGGCTATGAAAGAAAGATATTATACATATTCACTCAATATACACCGACTATCCGCACTCTATAGTAGAGAGCAATAAATCGGAGGACATAAAAACAGTGAAGGTACTTAATGAGAATAGGACAATGTGGAGTGGGGTGAATGAAGAGAAGAGGATAGAGGAGGATAGCAAGTGAACAATAGAGAGACAGGACGTTAGTGAGAAATAGATAGGGCTTATAAACTGTTGATGATGACAAGTATGGTATTCTCAACTGGATTGGTCTGGGAGGTGTTTCATGATGGGCAAAGTATTTTTACAAGCAAAACGAGAAATAGCAATTGACTGTTTTATAAAAATAATTAGAATAATAAAGATAATGATTGGGGAAAACAGAAAGGATATGGAATGTTGAAGTGGGGAGATCAATGTCCCTGTACTGACTGACGTGCATGGCATTCCCTTTTGAAGAAATAATGTAATACACTGTAAAGTTATATGTAATCCAATGTAATATGAAGAAGATATGATGATAAATGGCCGTGGCTCCCAGCTAGGGCCCGTGGGGCGTATGGCCAAGGCCCCCATGGGGAGCTGGGGTCCTGGGGTCCCGGGTGTCAGACGTGCGGACAGCAGCGGCAGACTGGCCTGTCGGGTCACTTGCTCCTGTCTCGTGTCGATAAGGTCTGGTTAGCGGCCGGGGAGACACGTTGTGACCTGTGCACTTATCAGGGTATTTGTCAGGAAAACCACTCAGATCGGCCTGTAATCGGGCTAAACTCAGCAAGAGAAAAGGGCTGGGGAACTTGCATGGGGCCAAATTCTCCCCCCACGCATCAGGGCACACTCTAGGGATGTCGCCTTTGGGCCCAGAGAGAAAGTAGAGTCAGGCATGCAGGAGAGGCAGGAGCCGTCTCTGAGCACCAAGTAGGCCCGCAGGTCCTTAGGCTTTTCTTACTGTCGTAAGAGCTGGGGAGCCTGGTGTTCCCTGAGCCGGTGGGGAGAAGTGCGCTGTGGTGGAGCAACGGGTACCCAGATCTCTCAGTGCGGAAGGACGCTGGGCGTGTGGGGTCTACCACGGCCCCAACACTTACAAAAGTGATCAAATTGCTGCGTGGTATTAAACTTGATACTCCCGTTTACGGGCCGATGTTCTCCGTCCTCTGGCTTGTACTGAGGCCATGAGGTGTGGCTTCTTCTTACACGTCTGTGGGGGGACCAGGAGTTGGCACGATGGTTAAAGGCACTGGACTCCTACATGGTCGACTATGGTTCGAGTCCTGGACCTGGGGGTTTGCTTTCTCACTCCCCCGGCTCTTTCTCTCATTCTGTCCCTCTCTGGTCAAATTAAAATAAACAAATAATTAATTAAATAAAGTTAAAATAATTCTTAAAAAAAACAAGTTTGTGGGTGAGGGCCAGCAGGTGGGGTGGTGGTTACTCCTCATACAAGTTTGTGGGTTGGGGCCAGCAGGTGGGGTGGTGGTTACTCCTCCCACGTGGCCGCCGCAGCGTGAGTGCTGAGTCTCGCGGGTTTTGATCTCACCCTTCCTCTTCCTCTCTCTGTCCCTCTCTGGTTAATGCATGCGTCATACAGCAAATTAAAATAAATACGTAAATAAAATGAATAATTAATGAAAAAGTTTGCGGGTCAAATCATTTCCAGTTGTCTGGAACACACTCCGCAGGGTGCCCGTGAAGCAGAAGCACCCCACCCTGACCTTCACGCGTACCCCTTCCTCCTCCCCAGAGTACACAGTGACTCGTAGTCTTCCTGCCTTCGCCAAGTAGCCCGGAGCCTTCTGCAAAGCCGTTCCTTGGCCATGTGACCCCCAGTTTCCAGCCCCCCGCCTGGAGCCATGGGGACCAGTAAATAAGGTCTGGAGGGCGCCCTTGGCAATAACCAACCTGCTTCATTCCGCTTGTCGCTGCCTTCGTGGGAACCCCGCTCCTGCTCCTCCTCGCCGCTCCCAGTTCCCACCGCAATCACTCACGGTATCAGCTCAGAACTGACTGTGGTCTTGGCCTGCACAAGTACGCCTCCTTCCACTTGGGCTGCGGGGTTCTGAGAGACGTGGGTCCCCGTGTGCGTGCTGCTGGCTTACTCAATAAACTCCAGGGAACTGGGCCGTGGCTGGACGCCCTCCGATGCCTCAGTGGTTAGACCATAGCGCCTGCATAGACAGCCAGTTGATTGCCCGTCTGTAGAACACAGGCGGGAAGAGAGGGCCTGGTGTCCTGAGGTCCGCAAGCCCCCTGTGGAGTCGGAGCGTCAAATTAGCGTAAGCCCCAGCCTCTCAATGAGAGCTGGCAGGAGCGGCGTGCAGGAAGGTGTGTGCGTGAATTCATGGGGTCAGGGTCACGGCCGGAGCTGGCTGTGGGCACATTGGTCCTGAAGCGAACCTCAGAGTGGAGGGGACATTATATACACCGCCCTAAACGCCCCCCACCACCTCGGAAGGTGGCAGCTATAAGTTGAAGCCCCTAGTGGCAGAGCCCGGGCTAACAGCATCACTTGACTCTAGAGGAAAGGGGAGTTGGGCGGAAGTGCGGGTCGAGCTGCCAGTCACGTCTAGAAGGCCCAGGGGAGCTTGGGGGCCTCCTGGACACTCGCTTCCCCTGAGGAGAGTCTGGGGTCCCAACAAACAAAAAGAAATCCAATGTCTTCCACTTCTGATGACAGCAACTAGAGTGTGTTACAGGACCACGTGCTCAGGGGAATCGAGGTAGGACCCTGCAGACCCGAGGACTCTGCAGACCCGTCCGGGGCACCGTGTGGGGAGGGCAGGACAGGGGGTACAGAATCAGAGCTGGCGGAGCAAGGCAGACCCGGCCGGGGCCCCGTGTGGGGAGGCGGGATGGGGGTACGGAATCAGAGCTGAGGGGAGCAGGGCAGACACAGCCCAGGGCCCCGTGTGGGGAGGCGGGATGGGGGTATGGAATCAGAGCTGGTGGAGCAGGAGGCGGCTGGCCAAGGGCAAAGCTTGCCCACTGCCCACTGTTGGAGGGCTTGCTGCCCTGTCAGGGCTGTGGAAGCCCCCCAGGGACTGCTCCGGCCACCACTCTCATAGCTCCCAAGGAAGGTTCTGTGGCCTCCACCAAACCAGAATACCAGCGCAAAGGCTTCCGCTTGGCTCAGCCGGCAAACGGGGGTGGGTGGGCGGCAGAACCTGTAAGGCAGACAGAGCAGGAACTGGGCTAGGGCCGGAAGCACGGCCACAGGCCTCGCTCGCCTGGCACGGAGGTCTCTAACGCTTCAGTCTAACGCGGTGACGGGAGGGGCGGCAAGGACTGCTCTGCACCCGGTCCAGGTGGGAGAGGGCTGTTTCTCGGGGTGAAGGGCTGTTGCTGGGGGGTCTGCTGCAGGTGGTGCCAGCGGGCATCCCGTCTGCTCCCGTGCTGTAGTGCTTCTGGGCCATCCTCGTTAACATGAGCAGGCTTGCTTATTACTGTAAGGCTCCTCTTGGGCCTACTCATTAGCCCTTGGTTCACCTATATATATATATATATATTAATTTTTTAAAGAATGATTCATTTAATTAATTATTATTATTCAATTTGACCAGAGAGAGAGAGACAGAGACAGAGAGAGTAAAGCAAGTCGCCAGGCCTGGGACTTGAACTGCGGTCCATCATGTGGGAGTTCAGAACCTCGGCCACCACGCCACCTGCCGGCACCTCCCTGCTTTATGAACGCTTCGTCCCTGGTACGCAGTAGGTGCTTACTAAAGAGCAGCTCTGTTAATCCAGACGGTGCACGGATTCCTAGGGAGCTGGCTGGAGCAGAGCTCGTCGTGAGCAAAACCTCGGTACTTGTTCTCAGGCTCTGGGCTCTGGGCTCTGGGCTCAGGAGGGCGGTGCTGAGTGCATATCACAGGCTGAGTTCCAGCCACAAACAGGTCAGCCCAGAAGGGGAGGGTGGAGCCCTGGGAACTCCTGGAGCAAGGGTCTTTGCCAGCTGGGGTGCGTGGGGCAGGGTCAGAGCGGGCTCCCTGAGCCGTAGGTGAGCCTGGGTCTGCAGGAAGAGTAAACGTAGCAGGTGGAGGAGGCATTGAATGGCAGTTCCAGCCCTGCAGTGCCACTGCCGTGGGGGCCTCAACCCGAGAGGTGCCCGCAGGGGGAGCAGCTGGCCGGGAGGGGCAGCGTGGGAGGCAGGTGCCTTGGCCTGTCTGGACACACTGGGGTTTAAAGTGGGGGGACGCATGGCTGGTGGCGTGTGCACACAGTCCCTCCCTCAGGCTGCTGTGGGAATGGACGGGGTGAGGGGCAGGACCAGTAGGGGCCGAGGCAATGGCCAGGCCAGAGGTGACTGAGGTCAGAGGCTAGTGGGGATGAGGGGATGGAAGGACCAGATGCCAACTGGGGGAGGGAGGAGAGGAGGAGTCAAAGGAGAAGAATGTTCCAGAAAGGAGAACCAGCTCAGAGGTAGAAAGGCTCCTGGTTGGGGCAGCCAGGTAGCTGTTCTGAGGGGTTGTCTGTGGGGACAGCGGATGGGGAAGGGCGGGCGTGGGGGAGGGCTCTAGCTCAGCTCAGGCGTGTGGGGTTTCTGACGCCTTTGAGACGCCACGTGGTACAGGGTTGGGGGCTGGGACGCCCAGAGGGGCCCAGGGGAAGCCCCCCTCCAAGGATGCATGCACAGGGTGGGGGGCTCCGTGACTGTTGGGCAGAGGGGACCCCTTACGCTGATCAGGGCGCAGGGCAGAGGGCAGGGCGGGGCCAGCTCTGGACTGAGGCCTAGAGGATAAGCAGGGTCTGAGGACAGAGAAGGGAAGGACAGGAGGGCCCAGGGAGGGACAGGAGGGCCCCGGGAAGACAGGAGGGCCCCGGGAAGACAGGAGGGCCCCGGGAAGACAGGAGGGCCCCGGGAAGACAGGAGGGCCCCGGGAAGACAGGAGGGCCCCGGGAAGACAGGAGGGCCCCGGGAAGACAGGAGGGCCCCGGGAAGACAGGAGGGCCCCGGGAAGACAGGAGGGCCCCGGGAAGACAGGAGGGCCCCGGGAAGACAGGAGGGCCCCGGGAAGACAGGAGGGCCCCGGGAAGACAGGAGGGCCCCGGGAAGACAGGAGGGCCCCGGGAAGACAGGAGGGCCCCGGGAAGACAGGAGGGCCCCGGGAAGACAGGAGGGCCCCGGGAAGACAGGAGGGCCCCGGGAAGACAGGAGGGCCCCGGGAAGACAGGAGGGCCCCGGGAAGACAGGAGGGCCCCGGGAAGACAGGAGGGCCCCGGGAAGACAGGAGGGCCCCGGGAAGACAGGAGGGCCCCGGGAAGACAGGAGGGCCCCGGGAAGACAGGAGGGCCCCGGGAAGACAGGAGGGCCCCGGGAAGACAGGAGGGCCCCGGGAAGACAGGAGGGCCCCGGGAAGACAGGAGGGCCCCGGGAAGACAGGAGGGCCCCGGGAAGACAGGAGGGCCCCGGGAAGACAGGAGGGCCCCGGGAAGACAGGAGGGCCCCGGGAAGACAGGAGGGCCCCGGGAAGACAGGAGGGCCCCGGGAAGACAGGAGGGCCCCGGGAAGACAGGAGGGCCCCGGGAAGACAGGAGGGCCCCGGGAAGACAGGAGGGCCCCGGGAAGACAGGAGGGCCCCGGGAAGACAGGAGGGCCCCGGGAAGACAGGAGGGCCCCGGGAAGACAGGAGGGCCCCGGGAAGACAGGAGGGCCCCGGGAAGACAGGAGGGCCCCGGGAAGACAGGAGGGCCCCGGGAAGACAGGAGGGCCCCGGGAAGACAGGAGGGCCCCGGGAAGACAGGAGGGCCCCGGGAAGACAGGAGGGCCCCGGGAAGACAGGAGGGCCCCGGGAAGACAGGAGGGCCCCGGGAAGACAGGAGGGCCCCGGGAAGACAGGAGGGCCCCGGGAAGACAGGAGGGCCCCGGGAAGACAGGAGGGCCCCGGGAAGACAGGAGGGCCCCGGGAAGACAGGAGGGCCCCGGGAAGACAGGAGGGCCCCGGGAAGACAGGAGGGCCCCGGGAAGACAGGAGGGCCCCGGGAAGACAGGAGGGCCCCGGGAAGACAGGAGGGCCCCGGGAAGACAGGAGGGCCCCGGGAAGACAGGAGGGCCCCGGGAAGACAGGAGGGCCCCGGGAAGACAGGAGGGCCCCGGGAAGACAGGAGGGCCCCGGGAAGACAGGAGGGCCCCGGGAAGACAGGAGGGCCCCGGGAAGACAGGAGGGCCCCGGGAAGACAGGAGGGCCCCGGGAAGACAGGAGGGCCCCGGGAAGACAGGAGGGCCCCGGGAAGACAGGAGGGCCCCGGGAAGACAGGAGGGCCCCGGGAAGACAGGAGGGCCCCGGGAAGACAGGAGGGCCCCGGGAAGACAGGAGGGCCCCGGGAAGACAGGAGGGCCCCGGGAAGACAGGAGGGCCCCGGGAAGACAGGAGGGCCCCGGGAAGACAGGAGGGCCCCGGGAAGACAGGAGGGCCCCGGGAAGACAGGAGGGCCCCGGGAAGACAGGAGGGCCCCGGGAAGACAGGAGGGCCCCGGGAAGACAGGAGGGCCCCGGGAAGACAGGAGGGCCCCGGGAAGACAGGAGGGCCCCGGGAAGACAGGAGGGCCCCGGGAAGACAGGAGGGCCCCGGGAAGACAGGAGGGCCCCGGGAAGACAGGAGGGCCCCGGGAAGACAGGAGGGCCCCGGGAAGACAGGAGGGCCCCGGGAAGACAGGAGGGCCCCGGGAAGACAGGAGGGCCCCGGGAAGACAGGAGGGCCCCGGGAAGACAGGAGGGCCCCGGGAAGACAGGAGGGCCCCGGGAAGACAGGAGGGCCCCGGGAAGACAGGAGGGCCCCGGGAAGACAGGAGGGCCCCGGGAAGACAGGAGGGCCCCGGGAAGACAGGAGGGCCCCGGGAAGACAGGAGGGCCCCGGGAAGACAGGAGGGCCCCGGGAAGACAGGAGGGCCCCGGGAAGACAGGAGGGCCCCGGGAAGACAGGAGGGCCCCGGGAAGACAGGAGGGCCCCGGGAAGACAGGAGGGCCCCGGGAAGACAGGAGGGCCCCGGGAAGACAGGAGGGCCCCGGGAAGACAGGAGGGCCCCGGGAAGACAGGAGGGCCCCGGGAAGACAGGAGGGCCCCGGGAAGACAGGAGGGCCCCGGGAAGACAGGAGGGCCCCGGGAAGACAGGAGGGCCCCGGGAAGACAGGAGGGCCCCGGGAAGACAGGAGGGCCCCGGGAAGACAGGAGGGCCCCGGGAAGACAGGAGGGCCCCGGGAAGACAGGAGGGCCCCGGGAAGACAGGAGGGCCCCGGGAAGACAGGAGGGCCCCGGGAAGACAGGAGGGCCCCGGGAAGACAGGAGGGCCCCGGGAAGACAGGAGGGCCCCGGGAAGACAGGAGGGCCCCGGGAAGACAGGAGGGCCCCGGGAAGACAGGAGGGCCCCGGGAAGACAGGAGGGCCCCGGGAAGACAGGAGGGCCCCGGGAAGACAGGAGGGCCCCGGGAAGACAGGAGGGCCCCGGGAAGACAGGAGGGCCCCGGGAAGACAGGAGGGCCCCGGGAAGACAGGAGGGCCCCGGGAAGACAGGAGGGCCCCGGGAAGACAGGAGGGCCCCGGGAAGACAGGAGGGCCCCGGGAAGACAGGAGGGCCCCGGGAAGACAGGAGGGCCCCGGGAAGACAGGAGGGCCCCGGGAAG